TCTTCTTTCAAGACAGGGTTTCTCTGTGGCTTTGGAGGCTGTCCTGGAACTAGCTCTTGTAGACCAGGCTGGTCTCGAACTCACAGAGATCCACTTGCCTCTGCCTCCCGAGTGCTGGAGGCTTGTGCTACCAATGCCCGGCCATTTATCTGTCTTCGAAGCAAGACATTATACTGTCATAAAAGGGTATGTCATGTGAGACTTATTCTAATATTGTACAAATTACAGAATTTGCTTAGATGATTTCTAGTTTTTATTCTTTTCTAGAATCCAGATTTCCAGATGTTGGCTTTCTTTAAACCAGTCCCAGTCTGGAGAGTTTTAGTTCAGTAGTTTGAAACTGGTCCTTTTAAGCCTGCCTAACATTCTTTGGAGGTTAGACTAGAATCTTGGGTCATTCTGTGGGAATCAGTAAAACCCCAATAGTTGTGTAGTATTTTTTGTTTTTTTGTTTTTTTTAAAACCATGCCACAGAGGACATTCATCTACTCTATTCCATTTTTTAAAAATCAGGTTTTATTTTTTTATTTTCTTTTTTTTTAATTTTTTAGTTCAAATTAGGAACAAGCTTGCTTCACATGTCAGTCCCTTTCCCCAGGTTTTATTTTTTTTTTTACCAGTTAAAAATTGAATTGTTGTGTGACTAGATGAGTCAGAGTATTTGTTGCTTTCACAGAGAACTGTGTTTGATTCCCAGCACCCACATGGTGGATCATAATCATCTGTAGCTCAGTTTTCAGGGAATCTGATGCCTTTTTCTGGCATCCACAGGCACCAGATGTGTATGTGATATGCATACATACATGTAGACAAAACACTGGTACACATAAAATAGAATAATCTAAAAAAGTTAAGATAGAACTGAATACTTTATAAGATCTTTTTTTTTTCCACATTGGTGAACTGTGGTCTTCATTTCCACTGTGACCCATGGAAGATTTACTCTTATCTGAAGAGTCATCTGCAGACGTGCTACAGAGAAGTATATTTTTAGATATTTTTCCAAGATAGCGTAGGCCACCTTGAAAACCCGTCCAAGTATAATTTGGTTATGTAAAGACTGTAGGCTAAAAGCCAGGAGTTCCTTGTGAGAGGAGTTCCTTTTTTTTTGTTGGCAGATTGTATTTGAAAATTTGTTGTTTCAAGATGTGTGTGTGAGAGCCAGGCAGTGGTGGTGCATGCCTTTAATCCCAGCACTAGGGAGGTGGAGACAGGAGTGATATGGCTGGGTGAAAAGAGGAATATCAGGCAGGAGCAGACAGGAGAAATGCAGTCAGAGGCAGTAGTCTGAAGCAGTGCAGTCTGAGGACAGGACTGCCCCTTTTGTCTGAGCATTGTAGAGGTAAGAACTCTCTAGTGGCTGGCTGCTTTGCTCCTCTGATATTTCAGCTTTTGCCCCTATATCTGACTCTTGAGGTTTTTTTTTTTTTTTTCTATTAATACTGATCAGAATTTATGCTACACAGAGGTGTGTAGAAAATACAACATTTTACCTTTACTCTTAAAATTTATTACGGCAACATGAAGTGTTAAATAGAAATAGTACACACAAATTATACCTGAATATGTGAGTGTATTTAATGCTGTTGAACAGTTTACTTAAAAATGGTTAAAGCAATAACTTTTCTATTTCATATGTTTTACCATGGTTAGAAAACAACAGTAACAACAGTTACCCTTGTCAGTGTAACATCAGTTGATAGACATGTCATTTGGGTTGTTGCTAAGATTATAATAAAAGTCTATTTAGTCTGGATAAAGTAAAGGAGAATTTTAATAAGGACAAGGAAAGTCAAATGCTGCTCATGAACACTGACCCTGGAAAGAAAAGACAAAATATCAACGCTATTTCTGCACTGTCTCAGGGCCTGCAATGTCCTTTGTGTATCCACCATGGTCTGTATAGAGGAAAAGGTGCATTGTTTACCAAACTTTAATTATGTGTTTTAAGTAAACATATGAGGGGGCTTTGACTGGCAATTGTGGTTTTGTTTATATAGCTATAGTTATCATTTATTAGGACATTTCATGTTTTAGTGCTTACGGATTCTCTTTTCCCATCCTTTGTAGGTTGTTTCCTAGAAACATGGTTGTTTGTTGGACTTGATCTCACAACCCAGTGAGGACGTCTTTACTGATAATGTCAAGTTCAGGTTACCCTCCCAACCAAGGAGCTTTCAGCACAGAGCAAAGTCGTTATCCTTCACATTCTGTTCAGTATACTTTTCCCAGCACCAGACACCAGCAGGTAAGGCATATTAGCTGTCAAGATGCATATATACTTTGTGGTTTCACCTTTCCTATGTAATAGATTTATTGGCTAGTAATAGAATAATGTGCTTGTTATTACTTTTGAATGACAAGAATCATGCAAGAATCGTTCACAACCAGGTGTGATGGAACATAATTGTAATTCCAGCTCTTGAGGATCAGAGGCAGGAGGATGGGAATTCAACACCAGCCTTGGCTATATAGCAAAGCTGAAGCCAACCAGGGATAAATGAGACTTCATCTAAAAAATATACACACACATACATATATATATATAAATTTATTTTATTTTATTTTATTTTATTTTTTATTTTTCTTTTGGTTTTTCCAGACAGGGTTTCTCTGTGTAGCTTTGGAGCCTATCCTGGCACTCGCTCTGTAGACCAGGCTGGCCTCGAA